AAAGACAACAAGAAAGAATCCACTTTCAGGCACAGGACAGGACCCATGACCAGGCAGGTCACCCAGGAAGGGACAAGGACCATCAAGGTGGCGCCCGCCTGCACAGCTTCAGAAACCTGCAGATGGAAAGAACCCTGAGAAGAACAGGTTGGGGGGAGGGGCGGAGCAACACATGGGAAGGCGTGATGGTGCTGGGGGTGGGGGAGGGGGCACACTCTCCTGGGGCGGGGGTGGGGGGCGATGACTCAGCAGTTTCACTTCCTGGTGGGCTGAGGCTCATGGGAGATATGCAGATGAGCCCAGAGCACCATGGGAAAGGGCCCTTTATATTCCCAGGTGGGCTGCTTCCCCTCCTTTCTGGGGGGCACCCACAGGAGGGCGGTGCCAAGCAGGGTGAGAACCCTTTGGGCTGAGGAGAGGGTCTGGGGGACACGGGCTGGCGGCCTGGGGTGGGCTGAGAGGCTGAAGCACCCAGGCGGCCCAGCCTGGCCTGTGGCGGGGTGGGGGGTTGGTTCCATGCGGTTCCCTCGGCGTCCATCAGCTTCCATCGGGTTTCGTCAGCTTCCGTGAGGACCCCTCAGCTCCTGTCAGCTTCCGTCAGATCCTGTCAGGTTCCCTCAGCTTCCTTCAGCTTCTGTGAGGTTCTGTCAGGATCTGTCAGGATCCCTCAGCTTCTGTCCGCTTCCCTCAGTTTCCCTCCGGTTCTCTCAGGTTCCTTCAGCTTCTGTCAGGTCCCGTCAGCTTCCCTCAGGTTCTGTCGGGATTCATCTGGTTCTCGGAGGTTCTGCTGACTGGGTGCCGGGGTGTCGGGGGTGGGGGGCGGGGAGGGCCGCGTGCCCCACGGGCCTGGGAGCAGCTACAAGCAGGGCGGGGCTGAAAGGGCCGGGTCTCAACCCATCGCCCCCCTGCCCGTGCTCCTCCCGGCGATCGGCGACCGGTGACCGTCCCACTCTGCCTGCTAGGGGGGCCCCCAACCTCAGTTGCTTGTCCTTTGCAGCCTCCCAGAGAATAGCGCCATCGCGTAAGCTGCAGAATTTTCCAGAAGTCCGACGTCCCCGACCTCCGCGGGTCCCTGTTGCATCGGCCCGGCCCAGATACCCGCAGGAGGATCCCCTTCCTTTCCCCGCACCCGGGCGCGCGCCCCCCCACCCCCCGCACGGCCATGTGCCCCCCGGTCAGTGCGCGGCACGGGGCCGAGGGCATGTCTTACCTCCACGCATCCTGGCTGTATCAGCTGCAACACGGGGCCCAGCCAGGGGTTTGCTTCGCGTGCTTCAAGACCGCCTTTCTGGAACTCCGAGACCTGCTGGAGTTGGAAGACTGGGAGGACGAAGACTGGGACCCCGAGCTGGCGGAGCACGAGGCGGCGGGGCCTGAGCAGGAGGGGTCCCCGGGCTCGGGGCTCGGCTGGGGGCAGGGCCAAGGTGACCCCGCACAGGGGGGTGCGGCGGGCTGGGGGCCGGGGCCCCTGGCGCCAGCCCCTGCGGGGTCCGAGGAGGCCGGCCTGGACCACCACTTTGTGCCCACTGAGCTGGAGCCTCAGGACGCGGCCCCCCTGGGCCTGGGGCCCGAGGACGCGGACTGGACGCAGAGCCTCCCCTGGAGACTCGAGGGGCCCCCCACCTGCTCGCACTGGCCGAGCCTCCCTCCTCCGTGGCAGGGCTTTCTCAAGGTGGACCTGCCCCCGGGGGAGCCCATGGTGCTGGAGCTGGGCGCCACCCGGGCCGTGGACCCCGCCGAGGCCGAGGCCTGGCTCAGGGACCTGCAGGTCATCTCCATGGTGGGCTGCTACGACGCCATCTACCTCCGGAAGATGACGCCGGGCTGGACGCGGAGGACGCCGGGCCAGGGCTGGCGGGTGCTGCTGGAGCCCGACGAGGTGTGGGTGGTGAGGCTGCAGGATGCGCCGCGGGAGCAGGACCTGCACAGGTGGCAGCTGAGCGTCCTGGAGTCCTCGCTTCCGGGCCAGACCGAAGAGCTGGTCCCCGCGGCCTCGGCCCTGCTCAAGATGGGCTTCACCATCCTCTCCTACTCGCCCTGGGCCACGAGGGAGGCGGAGGAGGGGGCCTCGGCGTCCAGGCCGCAGTCCTCGTCCTCCCAGGGCCGCGGTTCTGGGGCGGCTGAGGCCCGGAGCCCCGGGCCCGGGGCGTCCGGGGGGCCCGGGGAGGGCCCGGCTGCCGGGGCAGCCTCGGCCCTGGGGCAGCTGCCCCCGCTCCAGCCCTTCGGCCCAGGGCCCCGGGACTGAGGGACGGAGGCCCAAGCGGCCGCTCCCGTCCTGGCTGTCCCCTCCCCACGACAGCCGGGGGAGCGGCGGCAAGGGAGACAGGGGACTCGTGCCTGGGGAGGAAGAACGGGGAGCTGCCCGGGGACTGAGAAAGGGGACCCACCGCCGCCTCCGTGGAAGGGACCCAGGGGCGCGGGACCGGGAGAGAAGTTCTTCTCCGTCAGAGGCCGCGGAGCGAGGAGCGTGACCGCCCCGGGACACGCCTGGTGAGTGGCTGCGGGACACGTGTCTGGGCGCCAGCCCTGCCCTGGACACACGCAGGCAGGTCTCCGGTGGGGCCCGTGTCCCAGGAGCACGCGGACGTGGGGGCGACGGGGATGCGGCCTTGCCTTTGCCTGGATGGTGTCTGGGGCCCCACGGGACCCTCCCCGCCGCCGTGGGGCCTCCGGTCCGCCCCGGGAGACGCCTGGCTTCAGATGTTGGCCCTTCTATGCAGTCAGAACGTTTAGTACCTGTTTCTTTGTGTGTTGTTTTTTAACTAAATAAAGTTCGAAGAGGTTTGCTTCAGGCCCCTGGGCTGAGTCATCATTCTGTTGGTCCCTGTTGTTTGAGATCGTCATCTCTTTGTCTTGCATGAGCCACCGTGACAGGTTTAAGTCTCCCAGGAGCAGGAGGCAGAGGTGGGGACAGCAGAGGCCCCTTGAGTCCGTGTTTTGGCTCACAGTAAGAGTTTGTTTCACGAATGTTTGTCAGATTATTTATAAACAAACGCACGCGCGCTTAAAGCGCATATTGTGAACAATAATGACTGTGTCATCAAACACAGATTTTAATCAATCTAAATCTGTGTCCTGATTAAAAAAATTTTTTCAGGCAGAACATGTGTGAGGAATGCTAATATAATCAGGAGCCGGAGGCGGGGGCAGTTGCCAGCACCCCAGGGCGATACTCACTCTGCAGTTCCGGACACCAGGGCACCAGAGGCAAGGGAGAGGCTCTTCCTCAGGGGAGATGCTCTCAGCAGCTTTTCCTTGTCGCAAATGATCGATCTGAGGTTCCTGTTGCCCTCAGCCGGTGGTTTCTGGCTGACACAGCCTTCCAGTGATTCAAGGGGGGGCTGTTTCCGTTTCGGTGACAAATACAGTTCTAAGGGTTCGTTCTGGAGGGTTTTACAGTGCGTTAGGCTAACCCTGTCAAATCTGGGGGCAGTCTTCTTCCCATGGGTCTTTCCCAAGCAGTCCTGGTCTTAAATCAGGGAGGCTTCTGGTGCTGACTAAGTGGGCAAAGCTTTAATGCCGCAGCCTTCCAACAGCCCTGGTCGTTCTCGGAGCATTTCGTGAGTGGGAGTCTGTAGTAGAACATGAACCTGCCTTCTCCCAAACAAACCCGGCCCGGTCTTACCGTCGTAACTTCCCCTCTGCATCCCTGCAGATGAAACAGTCCATTTATTCCTATTCTAGCGAACTCTTGTTTTGGGCGGCCTTTTTTTTTCCCCTTAATGACCAGGCTTCTTGCGGATCTCCCGGGGTGGCAGGTCAGGAGCAGGAATCGTGCCGCAGGCCCAGGTGAGAAAGCCCCAGCTCCGTACGAGCGGCCGACAGAGCGCTCCTCAGCACTCTCTTCTGAAATCAGAAGATACCAGCTCACGAGGTCACGGTGAAAACGAAAGAAGATAAAATATATCCTCAAAAAATGAAATCTCTAAAATCCATATGAATTATGTACCCAAGTGAATTAAAAACATGGAGGTACGTGCTCATAACAGCGCCGCGCACGATCCACGCGTCCAGACGACGGGATAAACGCACTGCGGCACGGCCGCATGGCGCCATGTGCTTCACCGTGAACAGGAAGAACCGAACTACGCTCTGACGTGGATGGCCTCGGAAGCCATCATGCTCGGGGAAAGAAGCCTGTCCCAAAGGCCACGTGCTGTAGGGTTCCAGTGACAGGAAATGTCTACAACAGGCAACTGCACACAGACAGCGCTGATAAGTGGTTACCAGGGGCTGAGGGAAAGGGGGAATGACAAGTAACTGCTTAATGGGTCTGCTTTGGAGATAACGGCGATGTTCTGGAACTGGGTAGAGGCGACCGTTGCACAATGGTTAACTTTATGTTATGTGAACTTCACTTAAAGTTTAAAAAACGAATGTAAAAGTTGTAGCATATTGGTCCGGAGCAGGGATAAGTGTGTGTCTTCTTCCCTGGGAAGTAGACACACATTTTCTGGGAACTCCACACGTTCCCAGGACGTGCGGAGAACTCCGCCACGCACGCTGGACACGGCAGCAGTGTGACGTATCCCACTCCGCTTAAAACAGCTGCAGTCAGCTCTGGCTGTTAGTGGAATTAGCTGGGGTGTGTGCAGTCGAATACCACAGAGACTTTCAGAGGGTGAATGAGCTTTTATTTTTCAGACTGAGAGGAAACAGAAAATCGCGAAAAGATAGGTACAGTCCAGTCCCATGTATGAAAATTTTAAAGCACATTATTAAGTGCACATGGAAAATACATGGTCAAAAAAAAGTTTGGGAATTTCCCCAAAATCAGGGCAGTGGTGCCTCTAGGGAGGGAAAAGAATGGGAATGACCACTAGGGACGTAGTAGTCATTCCTACTGGCACTTGATCTGGATGGTGGTGCCCAGGTGTGTGTTATATACTGAGCAAATGTAAAAATGATGATGGCTTTGGTGATGCTGCTGCTGCTGCTGATGGTGGTCAAAGTGGTGGTGATGGAGATGATGGTGATGGTGGTGAAGGAGATGGTGGTGATGGAGGTGGTGATGGAGGTGCTGGTGGAGCTGGTGGAGCTGGTGGAGGTGGTGGAGGTGGTGGTGGTGGTGGTGGTGGTGGTGATGGTGGTGTTGGAGGGGGTGGTGATGGTGGTATTGGAGGTGGTGGTGATGGTAGTGAAGGAGATGGTGGTGATGGTGGTGGTGGAGGTGGTGGTGGAGGTGGTGGTAGTGGTGGTGGAGGTGGTGGTGGTGGTGGTGGTGGTGGTGGAGGTGGTGGTGGAGGTGGCGGTGGTCTTGCTGATGATGGTGGTGATAGGGATGGTGATGCTGGTGATGGTCTTAGTGATCATGGTGATGGTGAAGGAAGCCCCCAGGAGAGACCTGCAAGGACAAGAGCCCCACCTCCTTGAATTTTGGCTGCTACAGAGGCCCCATCATCAGTTTTGAGGCTGGGGCACCCCACTGCTGTTTTCATGAAAGGGGCTGATGGGCTTCAGGAAGGAGGTGGGGCTCCTGACCTCTTTGTTTCCTAGGGAGGTTGGGAGGAGTGGGGTCGCTGT